AAAGAACTTAGCTGGGAAAGAAGGAAAAGGAGATCCTTTAAAATTGTAATGGGAACACTTTCATGAATGACTTTAATGCCAATGGCAGCTTGTCTGCATTTAAATAACACTCTGCAGTGAGCACATGGTCAGGACAGACATTGCACTTACTGCTGTCCACAAGGGAGGAACCAGGAGAGCTGTTTTTCTCCTTCCTTTTTTAGTTTATTCAAGACACGAGCAAAACAAATGCTCCAGAATGTGATCAGTTAAACAAAACAAAGCAAAAAGAGACAAACCTCAAGCTCGATAATAGAAAAAGCTGGAGGGAGGTTCCCCTGCCAAATGCCTCCAGGAAACTTTCTGTGGGAGTTGGGACACTCATCTCCCAGAATCCAGCTCATAGTGAGGAATTACAGTAGGCCAAGCCAAGAAGATGGTAAAGAGGGGATTTGGAAAAAAAAGGYGGAGGAGGGATGAAAATTCTACTGGTTGTGAAATGTGAAATATTTCCTATCACTAATTTGAAATACATTTTTAGGAGAAACTAGTAGGAATTCATGATTACTTAAAAAAATCAAAAATCATACTTTTTGACTTTCAAAACAGCTTTTACTCATGTGAAAATTTGTAACTTTAATTATAGTATTAAAAAAAAAAATCACAGCAGCACGGTCACAACACCCACACTGGATGTCACATCTGTATCTGCAGCAGGCTAGCCTGCCACATCCCAGATGCTYAGGGAAAATGTAGGACCAGAGCAAGCACCTGGTGAGGTTTTACCAGATCATTCTCCCAGTGTCGACTGTGAGACTCCTTAAATCTGGGGCTCCTGAAGCCATGTGAACTTCTAGCATCCCCAGCCTCTGCTCAGCAGCTTAGACATTGCTACAGAGCCCTGTTTGTTGCTTTCAACCTAAGCTTAAGAATTGTAATGCCCTCTGAGTCTCATACTGTAAGAAGCAGTAAACAATCAATTCATCATCTCCTCACTTGTGGTACTGAGGGATTTTTCCCAATTGCATCTTTCCCCCCAAAGCAGTCTCAAGCTAATCCACTACAGGATAGAAGCCGGTTCCCCTCTCCAAAAATCACAGTCGTTCTGTTCTAAATCTTCTCCGAGTCTGCTCTATCTTTTATGAYGTGAAACAACCCTCAGACATTTTCCATCCCATCCCAGGAAGCTTCAGTGCAGACAACAGCAAAACCAAAGACTCACTGAAAAAACCGTAGAGATAAAAGCAAAATTCAGATATTCTCCTTGATTTCTCAGGAAAAAAAAAAAAAAAAAAGGAGAAAAAGCGCTGAGTCACCAAAAAAGGCTTCTGTTTAGCTAAATGTAACTTCTAACAGAATGATGCTAGTTTAAATTACTGTTTGTATGAAGATCCTCTTTTTCCACCCAGACGGACATGGAAATTGTTGTGCTGTAAACACCAAGCTCCCTTAGAGCGCCTGAGCAGGAGAAAAGGGATGGGGCCCAGGGGATTTACATTTCTAGAACACCCTGGCTAATTTCACCCTGTCTCAAAAGGGCTGAAATACAATTGCCAGGCTGCAAAACGTCCACTCTGTAAAGTCTGTTTTCCATTTGTTTTTAAGCAAGAGGCAGCTCATGCCTTTGAGAGGGTCCCAAGAGGTAACCTTGGGCCTCTTGTCCCGAATGGAAGGACTGAATTAGCTGCTTCTCCAGGCATTTTCCACTCCTTTCCTTACATTCATTGTGAGCTCTCCAGGGAGAGGAGCAGAGGCAGATGAGGAAATCATGTGTCCGAGGACAAGGGGGGGCTGCAGGGATGGAGACGTCAGGGTAGGGGCTCTGCCCTGGTCCCCTTACCACGGATGGGGCTGGTCCGGCTGTGCCTGATGCAGGGAGACAACCGCAGCCTCCGGCRAGGCCGAAGGGTGACACGGGTCTCCAGCAGCGGCTGAGTCGGGGAGCCTGGCTTAACCAAGCCGGCCTTTGGCACTGGACTTAGGGACCGGCCACAGCTGCGATGACATTTAGGCAGGGGGGAAAAAAACCCTAAAAACCTGCAGACTCCGCAGAGGCGGCGATGAAGCGCTCATAGGCTGCATTCTAATAATTTCTGTTTGTACAGCTTTTAAGGAAAAAAAAAAAAGGCAACTAGAACTAATTCCTTTCTGTGTGGGAATCTGCTCTGGTTTAGCTCAAAGGTCACTTTAAAGCCCGCGTGCATTTACAGTGCAAGGCAAATATTTGTCCAATATACAGGCGGCTGCTCCCGCTTGAGAGATAAAGGTTACAGGGGAGGAGGGGAGGCAGGAAAGGGACAGGCAGCGCGCGGGGACGGAAGGAACCGCGCGGAAAAGCCGGGCTGGGCCGGGGAGCTGCGCTCCCGCTAGCGCCGACTGCCACCTCCCGGAGGAGAGGCCGGCCGGAGAGGAGCCTCGGCCTCTGCGGGCACCTCCGGCCTCCCCGTCCAGCCTCCCTTCCTCCTGGCGCGGCCTYGCGCTCTCCGCTCACTTCCCACAGGCGGAAGAGCCTCTGCGAGGGTACCCCTGACCTCTGCTGGCCTTCAGAGCCTTTCTGGAGGAGGAGCCAAAAGAAACAAACAAAAAAGGGTGTTCTGAATAATACACATTTTTAGAGGCTGCCCATCCCATCTGCTGCTACCACTTTTTGAAACCGGCTAACGGATTCAATCACATTTGACACAGTGGAAATATATCAAATTAAAAAAAAAATCTCAGATAGCTTCCTTMTAATTAGAAGCTGACAGATGAGTTGTGTTCAGATTCATGGATCGTTTCAGGACATTTTTATATCATGCATGAAACTTGATTTCTAAAGGTGTTGCCTTAGGATTTTTAGAGGAGCTCCACCTTCAATCTGACATCAAAACAGGTCATGAGGTTTCAGAAGACCTCAGTAATGCAAAAGCTGAGCTCCTGCAAAAGTCTTCACCACTTGTGTTGAAGYGGAAGCCATTGAGTCAGACATTTCTACCACCCACTTGCCCCTCTCACCATGGCAAGGTAGTGGCTGCAAGTAAACATTTTATCTCAAGGTGCAATCTTTAGTTGGAGCCCACTACAAGAACCCTGCCTTTTTGCCCATCAGTTTTTCCTTTGTTATAAAAATGATCTTCACACAGGCATTGGATGTCTCTCGCTCTCTGAGACAAGGCACTATGCACAAACCTGACAGAGAGGGCCTGAATCAGCACCTCGAAGAGTTGATGTTTCATCACCATAAGAAATGGCCCCAAGGACACCATCCTTCAGAAAGTTAAAAGCCTCTAGATATTGCCCTTATACTGCAAGAAAGAGAATAACACAAAAATTCCAACGTTCCGCACATCTCCTGAAGCAACCCCCAGCTTTTTGGGAAGACACCTCCACCAGGCTGCTGCCTCCTTGTCCTCTTCCACTTGCTCCTCAGCAAGCTCAGTGTCTCACCTGAAATGTGCTTAAATCCCTCTACTTAGAGGTCACAACACCGGAATCTGAAAACACCAGAAAATGCTCCAAACCTCTAATCTTTAAAATGCAGTAAGGCACAATAGAAAACACTGTTACTGATGACTGACTAGCTAGTTACTTCTATTTTTGGTAGAGATGAGCCGAGTGAACCACAATCTCCCGCAGGATTTCAGAAATCGTAGCTTATATACAAAATCAACACACAGTCTAAACCTTGCAGCAATAATCTAGGTTAGATCCAAATCGAACACCATACTCAGATGGTAGCAAAGTGTCAGAAAAATAGCCTTAAAGCAAAGCATCAGAAAAATAGCCTTGAAGGATTTATTTTATCTTGACTTACTCTAAATCGCCTTAGCAAAGGATGCTCCTAAAACTCTTTCCATTAGGCTAGCTACTTATGAATTGARGCCTTAATTACTATCCACTCACTCTGGGCTTCTAAAAGAACATGCTCCCACCACCTTGAGAACATTCTCCAACACTGACAGAGTATGAAAAAGAGAACACAAGCGTGGTACCACTGGTTCAACCACTGTCTGGATTATTCACTGTACAGAAGGAACACAGGAGGTCACCTACTTCACTCTTGAAAAGTTGATCCTGTCAGGTACAGAAATTAAGAATATGCTCTTCTTTTAGCAGGGCCGATTTTAAAGCTTGGCAAGATTTTGTAAAGAGTTGATTTCCTTGCTTCTCCTGAAGCAAACATACAAACAAACCCCCTTAAAAAAACAAAACAACCGTTTTCTCCATTGAAATTACTGTAAACAGACAACAGATGCCACTTCAGTGAGCTGAAGATTACTGCTTGGAATACATGATAGTTAAGGGCTTTTTAAAATCATCATCTGGTCCAGACAGACACTGCAGTCAGATCAAACTGGGATGATCCCAAATTTCCACCATTTCACCTTCCTAAATAACATGAACCCTGACAACCATAATTTTCATCCAGATATGATCTCCCTGATCCCCTTCATCAGATTACTAAAAATATGTTATTTAAAGTATTTGAATAGAATTGGATTTTAAATTATCTTTGATAGGTTAGGAGACTCAGRCCACTGCTTGGTGAGTCAATCAGGTTTCTGGTGGTGTTGAGGCAGTTAGACGTCAAAACACCTCAACAGTTCAGTGAGGTCTGACCTGCAGCCTGTAGTTCTGTTGCATTTAGGTAGCTGTTCTGCAAGGTTGCTGTATCATTTCCCTAGCCTTGTTTGCCCATTAGACCCCTTGTGTCCAAGGAAAAAGGTGGCGTAAGAAGGAGTATCCTGAGAAACATCTCTGATCCAGCTCCAGAAGAGGGCAGCCTTAGACTAGAGATGAGTCGCAGGGGGATTTRCTGCTAAACCTGCTTCCCTCCGGCCTTGCACAGGAGGTTCTGCATCCAGGAACCTCGGTGTTTACCAGCCCTGACCATCAGGAACCACCAGATATGGCAACACTTGTAAGCGAGCCTCCTGCAAGCTTGAAAGAGGAGGGAGATAATGTATATTCCCATTATGAAGCACAGGGACAGCATTCTGCACATGTATGTTCAATATAGAAGTATATGGTTAAACACTCACCTTTAAACACCCCACTCTTTGTACAGCACCTTTCTTTGCTTCCAAGTTCATCAGTAGTAAGCTCAGGGCCACGGCAACCACACAGATTCTGCAGGAGCAAGTATTAATACAATCAAAATTATAATAATAAAAGGATTGTGTATAGCATTTCCCCTCCCAAAACAAAAGTTCTCATTTTTGCTTTCAGTTCCTATCTACCAGCTAGACTATCCCAGCCCTGCAGTTTTTCCTTCTGAGCAGGAGCTTGGCTACCCCAAAATCTGTACAGAGAGAACCAGACTAGTGCACAGTCATCTTTATGTTTCTTCTCATCTTCAATGCAGACTGTTGAAAGTCAGATCAAAAATTGTCCAGAGCCTTCTTTCTTGTGAGTGGAAGGATTTTCGGAAAGATACAGAAGTTTTCACCTCCTCTGCCTCCAAGAGAGAAGTTTCCACCAACTCTGTACCTGCAATCTCTCTGCTTCAGAGTTATCACTTTGATACTGGTACTTCCAGCCTAAGCACGAGCTGGTGGCAGTCCCCAGACCCAGAGGACACCACTATTCGGGTGGACATCCCCAGCTCTTGGAAGAAAACGTGCCTGGGAATGACCCAACTCCCRTAAGTCACCATGTCCACACGGTGGAACATACCTGGATCCGCAGGGACCACAACGGGTGCCGCTGCCATCCAGCCCATTCCTTCAGCCAGAACCACCCTCAACACCTGCAGAATATGCCCCACTTTCTGCCATTTATCTCATCATACAAAATGRAAAATCCTTCTCGTCCTTTTTTTGCCCTCTCCCTGTGCTGAGCTACCCCCCTATGCTCACAAGGTCCCTTCTGTACCTTCCTTAGCCAAAGGAGAAGCCCCCTCACTATCATAAACCCAAGTGAGGAACAAGATCCTCTCTCAGGCTTCATTCCCTAATCTGGTCTCTCCAAAACTGCTGTCCACTCATCCATTTTAAGCTTCTCAGTAACACCTCACAGATACAGTTCAGAATATTAATGCAGTAAAGGTGGTATTCCCAAGTCCAGGTACCCATTTTCAAGCAAAACACTGGAACAAACAGAACAGCAAAGTAACCACCTCAAAATCCCTTCAGGCTTTTAAGAACAAGCTGAAAACAAGAGTGTTAATTATGAGCAATTAAAAAGATGCATAGTTATTTCTGCATGAAGACAGCGGGGGCCTGACATAACTTTAGTTGTAACAAAAGGATGACATATTTTGTATCCAAAAAATACATTCATTTTCACAACRTAGAACAAAATCACTGGACTCAGAGGCAGCAGGGAGTCCTGGTGTACAAACCTACCAGGCATTTCCACCTTACAGGCATTAAGAATCCCTTGCTAGGCCAATCCTACTGGAACCATGCTGTTGCAGAAGGGACAAGTTTCTTAATCTTTCCCTTCCCTACCACAGAGGGCTAAAAAAACTTCAGTTCTTGGCTTGCTGGAGGCCAATGATTTAGCCTCATGGGCATGAGGATACCTTTATTCACCCTGGTCACTTATATTATGGTGGAACTAGACTGGCAAGAGAGGCCACACATGATTTTTTTTCTTCTTTTTTCTTCACCCCACTCCACCAAGATTTATGGATGTATGGATTTATGGACTTTCACAGATTTCATTGACAGTGAAATAGGAAAAAAAAAAAAAAGAAAAAAGAAAAATAGTGATGAAACTTCTAGTGGTGGGACACAAAAGAGAAGTGGGGGAGATCCCRTAATGGAAATGAGAGACCTTGACTGCAATTCTAAGGCTGGAATACAAAACCAAAAAGGACTTATTTTCTTGCTTCCCTCACTAAAAGAAGATAYAYAAAAACAAACAAACAAAACCACCTACCCACAACCTATGTGGTGCTACTACCAGAAGAGCATCATGGAAACTACTGAACAACCTGGATCAAAGCTTGAGTCCAGTGAAAATACCTAGGAAGTTTTGTGGCTGCAAAGACTTCATAGTTGTACCATCCCATCGACCCACAGAGGAATGAATGCTCCTGAGCGCTTCCTCCAGGCCAGCCCTCAGGTTGACACAATCATCTTCTCTGATTTCAGCTGCATCAGGCTGTAGCAGGGAGGCTGCCCACATGGTGAGGTCCTTRGAAGCCCTTAATCTTTCTAAAATCCTCTTTTTAAATCTTCACAACAACAAGCCATCAAATCTCAATAGGCTGACTTCTGAGAAGCCAAATGACCATTTCAGCAACACCCATCTAATATTGGGCTAATAACACCCATCTAATAATTCAGGGGGCTTGAAAGGACTTGGCTCCTGTTCCCAAGTTCCAAACTGAAGCTCCCAAGCTCCATGCAGGAAGAAAGAAACCCCCTCAGTGCAAAAGCAACCAGCCTAGCCACARCATTACAAACATACCTGTCCTTAAAGGAAAGCCAAGAACAAAATTTACTTCACCAACACAGTGCAYGTCTAAAGAGGATGAAGCGAGCGGGATTTACGGCAAGCAGGGCCCTGTGGAAAGCGCAGGTCGGTGGCACCAGGTGTGAGCACTTAGCGGGTCAGGCCTCGCCTGGGCTCATGAGGGCGGCCAGGCCCTCTGCCCCACACCTGCAGGTGGGAGCACACCCGGGTCCCACACGCTGCAAGGGGAGCTGCTCCCGTAACTGCAGCACAGCTGAGAGCAGCTAACCCTAACATCAGGCAGGAGCAGCTTCACTCTGCAAGTCCTATGAATGAGGCTGAAACCAGCAGGTAGCACCTGCAGACACCCAGCCCCGACACCCACCTACCCCTGAAGGGCACCGGGAAGCCTCTGCTCGCCCACCACCCCAAGCCCAGCAGGAAGGTGCTCCCCACAAACGTGCGACTCACCTTGAAACCACTCCCCACGAGACCTGAGCGGGGGTTGCACCTCATCGGGGGGCACCGCTGCTCGCCCCCGGCTCCTTGCTCCAGGTTGCTCCCCCAAAACCCGCATCCTCGCCTCGGGACGCCGAGTCGGCCTCCGCAAACCGGGCTAAAACCGCGCCTAGTCCCGGCTGGAAGGGCCCGCGCGCCCCGCTCCCCTTGGCGCCCGGCGGAGGCGCCGGGGCCGCCCCGGGGCGGAGCCGCGGCAGCTTTGGGGCAAAAACGCCCGTCCCGCTGCCCCCCGCACGGCCCTCCCCTCCCCTGCCCTACGTGTAAAATAATAACTAAAAAAAAGACAGGAAAAAAAAAGGAAAAAAAAGTTAATATATAAAATATATATCATACATTGAATTTGGTGTGTTAATTTTTTTTTTTTTTTTTTAAATCTCCACTTCAATTTCAGAATTTCAGTCTAACCAGCTGCTAAATATGAAACTGCTGCGGTTACTGCTCGGGTCTCCCTCCCCCTCCAAGCTCGCCCTGCAGTTTGGTGCTGCTGACCTTGCTGTGGGAGAAGGTGGCAATCCCCCTCCACGAAAGGCAGTCCGGGCTAGCGGGTGAGCTGGGTCGGTGATGACCRGCCTCAGGGCTCATGGAGTATAAGGCAGCTGCACAGAAAAACGTGGAAATTATGACAATATCATTTTAACCATTAATATAGGGTTCTTTGTAGCGGCCTCTGAAAGTTTGGAATAACTTTACGCTACCAGACTGAGGGCTGAAAAGCTCTTTTTGCTCGCGGTGGTTCTCATGAAATCCCAACTAGCTGTAAAACATCGCCCACTTTTATGCTTAGAAGCAGCTGAAACCATCAAGTTTCCTGTGGTTTCACATGAAACCATCTGCTCTCCTGTGTGTGAGGAGTGCCTGCTGTTATAAAATAAGGACATGGGACATGGACCGACAACTCAAAGGGTGATTTTTTCACCTCAGCAAAGCACAGAAGCTGATCAGAGCTCTACCTGCAGCAGTTAGGGAGAAGTTGGGATCTTCTCTTCTTTGCTCTATGACTAGTTTTTCAGACTTTGTCATTGGATTCATGGTGTTTTAAGGTTTTGGGAGCTGTAACTCCCAGAAGCCAGCAAACTACATAGAAAAAAACGCAGATCTCATCCATGATGAAATAAGTTTACATACAGTGTGGGCACCCAGATAGCTAAGAGAGTACCCTTTCTACCTCCCTCCAAAATTTGGCACCAAGCAGGCATTAAAAATACTACTACTATGCAACTTGTGTGTTTTGGCACTTCCCACAGCATCACATTTGTGAATAATTCCCAGGGTCTCTGGGTTAGCAATATTAAATGCAGATCAATAGCAACTCCCCTGCTGATTAAAACCCCAATGGTTACCAAAAATGAAAAGAAAACTTCTAAGTCATTTGCCCTGCTCTAAACCCTGCTTATGTACAGGAAGCATTTTTGGGCTCAGCTGAAAACAAGAGAGACCTGTTAGCTAAATAGGTGACATTCTTATGATTTCACTAAGAGAGAAGAAAAGGCCAAAGATTTCAGAGTAGCTTATTTATGGGTGTTACTCTCAGGTCTTTTACAAAAATGAACTCTAATTGCTGCCTTCCACAGCAAACCCACAGCAAGTGAGTTGTTGGCTTTTAGAGAAAACTAATGATGACTTTTGCAGGAAAAAGAGGAGCTGCCGCTGGGAGAAAGCTCTTATTTATTTTTGATTGTGCTAGTTCTCTGCGTCTGCACATGTAGGCCACACTCATAGCAAGCAACTTGACTTGGTCAAATTTTCTTTCAGAAATGTTGTTTCATAGTTGATTTCAATCTTCTGCAGATTTCTCTACATACGTGGTCTGTAGGACCCACTGTGTAGTTCTATGCTATTTCAGAAATATAGAGGCTCTGGAAGTGCARGATGAGCCTGTGATCTTTCTTCATCAGCAGAGTGTGGGTGTGAGACACTCTTCCCTCTACTCCCTTGATTCAGACAGTCCTGTAGTTAGCATTGGTTTTGTAAACACACTGCCACAGGCATTCCCAAAGAGTATCGTCCTGACTGAGGTCAAGCTCAGGGATCCAGTCCTGAATGAAGCTAAATTATGCCCATTTCATCCTTGAAAGCCCCGATTTGAACAGTTTGTTGAGTACCCAGTTTGATTATCAAATACCGTTCAGGTTGTTTCCATGTTACTAACACTATGCAAAGACCATGCAGACTTAGACAAGAACTACTGAAATAAATACAGGAATTCATGAGGCCATATGGGTGAGTTGCATTCTGATTCTAACATCACCAGAAAGTTGATAGGAATGCGCTTGCACTAACCTGACACACCATATGGTAGATGTCTCTCAGTTGGAAATGTCCTCTCCTGCATGAATGAAATAATGCAGAAAGGATCTAGTCATATTCTTAGTAGACAAAACACCTTTTTCTTGGGGCTGCATTTGGTACGCTGACCTTACCAGTGAGGAAACTTCAGAAATCTTGATACCTTGATTAGAAAGAAAGTAGGTGCTTGCCAGTGCTTGCCACTCTATTGCTGATAGGAACTATGTTTGCCATAGAGGTTGGCATGGCACAGAGGGGAACGTTACCATCCCAAAGGTGGACCTCTAATCTAGTGCGAGGCTTCTGCCAAGCACAGGATAGTGAAAGCATCATAAAATATTAAAATCTCCCCAGCACCTCCCTCCATTCTAATAAATTCRCTTCTGAAAGCTCTCAGTGAAAAATCATTAATGATAAGGCCAAATCTCTGTATTACCTCAAAGAGGTGGGAATAAACAGACCACATTTCAAAATGATTTCTTATTGCATATCATTTTGTTGCTATGGGGGAATGCTCCAAATGATGCCGAACCTATTGGAGAGATAGTAACCAATAACCTGTTGGATAATAATGTCATTCACTCACAACTGTGTTATAAATAACATYGTAAAGATGAAGCAGCGTAGAAGACATACTGGTTTGGGGCCTGGAAGAAGTCACAGAGGCCATGTTGTCAAAGTCATATTCTGTCATATTCCTTGTTTGATGGCAGGGGCAATATTGAGGCTCTTCAATAGTCCTGGGTTTCTCCCCTTCTGTTACAAGGCCATCTTGTGTGGCCTCTGTTAGCTCCCTTATAAATACACATGCACTGTGCAGTGAAGCTCTCTGCCAGAGTCTGTGGGCACCCAGCACATCCCTGTGCCAAAGCCAGGAAGCCTTCCTGGGAGGTAGGTTTCCTGGGGCAGGTGGAGCACCGTGATACCTGTCCCATTTCCAGAGAGCGAGGCCTGGACAGTTGGTCTGCAAGGCATCACACTGAACCCTGCGGATGCAGCCAGCCCAGCATCCTCCCCTGTCCCCTATTCCCTTCTGTAGATGTTCCAGCATTTCAGTTATTGATCTATAAACGGRTAACCCTCATAGGAACGGATTGCAAGCTCACAGTGACCTCGTGGAGACAAATACAGTAAAGGACATGCTTACAGGATGGTAATGGGGGCCCTTTCAGAACCCCAGAGAAAACCTTTGTATTTATGGTTATGGAGGAGTAAGGGGACAATTTTTCTCTACTATTAGTAGTTTRTATAAAGCACATCTTAGACAGTTGTCTATCAGTTAGACATTACATCATGTAAATAAACACAGCAATCTCAACCTTTCTTTGTCCTGTTCCACATGTCATACATATCAGTGCAAAATGAGGGTATTTACTAGATGGGTGATGTGTGGAGAGCTGGGTGATAGATCCACTGAAGATAAAACAGAGTAGGTTACTGAGGCTGTTAAATCCTTCATCAGGTGTTTTGTCAGTTTACAGATGTATTTTGAAAGTCCAAGGCACACTGACACAGGGAGGCCTGGACCAAGGCCTACCAATCTTTACCTTTGACTGAGAACAAATACAATTCTTAACTSCCTTTTGTGCTGATGATCCAAACACCCAGTTAAATATGGGCTCTAAGTACCATGTGATCAGAAAATGATTCAGAAGGATGTAAGAGATATGCAGGTGTGTGCTTGTGTATTTACCTTACAACTCCCAAAGGTAATATGTGTTAAGTGGATGCAGAAATGGCACTGTGGCAGTATATTTATTGCACTTTTATTGCAGCGAGGTTCCCTGAATCGCGGCAGGACAGTGCAGACATCATGCTGCCTTAAATGCTTACTAATGATATGTTTATTCAGACAGTCTCAAGACATTCTCATGAAAGTATTTTCCCATAAATCTCATGGAAGAACTGTAAAAAGGATTTTCCTCTCTGTCCAGAGATCAAACATTGTAGTGCAGTTACAAAATCAATTTGTTTTTCTGAATGACTTAATTTGCAAGTAGGAGGCATGATATACTATTTCATAAGTGTATGTTACCCTTAAGCACAGAGTAAACTTCCTACATTAAAGAGCTACATGCCAAACTGTACCTTCTCCTTGTCCCCACCACCTTTCAATCTTTCACAACCAGACTCATCAGATGATACTTCAAAAAACTGTGGGGTTCTCAGCATCCCACAGGATGTTGTTCTTGATTTCTTGTTTTGTATATACTTGCCTTCACATTCAAATTGGGAATTCAGCTTCCAGGAGAGGAAGCTAATGTCGTTTCCTGTCATCTCCCACCCAAGAAGTAGAGGCTGCTA